CAAGTTACGTGACTTAAGGAAAGTTTTGAAAGGGTTCCTTTAATGGCTTATTTGGAAATCTGACTGGACATACAACAAAGAGATCACATTTCTCTCCCAAATAAACCAAAGAGTCATAATCATGAGAACAATAATGAGGTTATGCTTCCATTTTATAGACAGAAATCAAAACTTCAAAACTCATTGCTCACCCTCCCTTGAGTCTCCAAGACTATGAATCATACAAGAAGAGATTGACCATTTTTCTCCATAGATAAGGATATCAAAATATAAAACAAAAACAGACAAATATTATCCCTAAAATTTCAAAGTCAATTCATCCCCAGCTCCCAAATAAGTAAACTGTTTACCACTCACAATCAAGTGTGACAAGAAGTGGGATCACTTATCACCAACATGGCCTAGTAGGGGCTTACTCTGTTATCACTCTCATTGCTATAGAAGGAACTCTGGAGGCCTAGTGTGTCAGGAATTGTGCCACTAACCCAAAGACCTCAGCTCTCTGGTGGTCATAGTCCATCAGCAGCTCTATGGAAAAAAACATGGGCATCCTCCTCCCATTTGATTCACAGTCTCAGAAACCCAACCAAGTCAACTCCCAAGTCCGGAGAAAGGAGAAATAAGGAGAAACTCACCAGAAACTCCAGAAACGCACCTCTTGAGATGTATTCTTTTGCATATGCTTTACCCTCTTTGGTTGTTAACCCTCAGTTAGCAGTGTTTATATACATAATCTCTGGAGTTTTAATGGTAAGGAGCTGAGCTGCCAACTTAAAGGCACCTAGTTAGAATCACCAGCTGCTCCATGGGAGAAAAATGGGCAACCCTCTCTTATGGTATTTACTGTCTGAAAATCTGCTTGAGAGTCAGCTATGAGTCTGTCTAACTTGACAGTATGTAAAAACACACAATATTGTACAAATATTTTTTTAGCTGGTTCCCAAAGCCCTTTTAAATTATTCTTATTTTATACAATGTTAAAATAATGAAAGGGGCAGAAAAACCCTCTGGTGGCATAGTTGGTAGGGAGTTGTGCTGCTATTGCAAAGGTGTTATTTCTCTGGTGCTTAGAAATGACCAGTATCTCCACCAGAAAAAGATGGACAATCTCCATCCTTGCAATTTACAGCCTCTGAAAACTCAATGGAAGGTCAGCTACGAGACAACCTGTATTCAACCACTATAAGTGATGGAGTGAGTGGTATTTTACAGGTCAATACAACCTGACTGGGGCCTGTATAGAAGCATTTAGGAGCTAAGGTAAAATAAAGCATTAATAGGAAATAGAGTTTGGACAGAGAACTCTAGAGGTTTATTGCTGTTGCGTGGTGGAACCGACCCATAGCTTACCCTTTCTGCAGGTTTTCAGAGGCGTTAAGTCATGTGTGAGGAGACGGCTTATCCCCCTGCAGAGCAACTGGCGGGTTCAAACTACACGCCTTTGATATTGCAGCATAGTAAGAAATTGTGCTAGCAACCCAAATGTATAGTTTTAATCCTTCAGCTAATTTGGGGAGAAAGAAGAACATTCTCTTCCCTTGTGATTTACGATTTGCTGCCTTTGAATACCTGCTAGAGGATCAGCTATCGAGGAGTTCCAACTGGACAGTACACAACAATAATGTTCATTCTACCTGACAATCTTGTTTTCCAAAGATTGTCATTAATTTCCTGAAACTAAGATCCAGACATTTATGAACATTAGATATTATGGGAGAAATGGAAAATATGTGGTATATTGTTTCTATTCAATATTCTGTGAATGAAGTTCTTGATTTCAATGAGATTTTTCTACACCTTTATTCATATTCTAATTGTGGTATCTGCAAACTCTTGTTGAAAGTTTCCTTAGCTTCCTAGATTTTAGACTACCATGTTTTACTCATTATACGTCTTTTTACTACCATCTGCAGCCTTATCTATGAAGTGAGTAAAACAGACCAAGGCTCTGTGTCTCCCCCCCCACCATGTACCCAATTCATTTACAGAACACATAGATTTAATTACCCTTCAAAACTAGTGGTTGAGAAAAAAAACCCACCCTAATAGTTGCCGAGTGTGTCCTGCTAACTATGTTGTGGTCCACCATTTCTATCCTCATTATTCTACAAACCAGATTATGTTCCTATTCACTTAGAAATCGCTGGCTTACTTTACCTGTCTTTTGGGATTCTGCACGCTTAAAGCCTTAGAAATGATGGTGGTTGTTAGCTACTTTTCGAGTTGCAGACGAAGCCTAGTTGACCCTCTGGCAGGTTTTCAGAGGCAGTTAGTCAACTGCAAGGCAGAAGATTGACCATCCTTCTCCCGCGGAGCAGCAGGTGATGGAGTCAACCCCGCAGCCTTTGGGAATGCAGCACAGTTTCTTACCACGAGGCCACCAAAGTTCTCTTCAGAAGTCATAGAGTGTGGTGTTTCAATCAAACCACACAATTCGAATGATAAGCAGACCTGTAAACTTATTATTTACCTGTATAAAAGTTAGCTTTCTGAATAATACCCCCTCCAGCGCTCAGTTTTCTGATACGCAATATTCCTAAGTATTTAGGATAAAAATGCTTTTCAGAGAGTTAAAAAAATAGGCTGCACTCCTCTGGCGGTTTGAATTCACTAGCCTACATGAGGGAAATTTCCTCTTTAAGGAGCTCTGATAGCTTAATGGTAAGCGTTGTATTGCCAACCCAAAGGCACGCAGTTGGAATCCACCAGCCGCTTCAAAAGAGAGATGGACAGTCTCCTCTACGCAATTACTGCCCTTAAAAACCTGAGGAGGCTCAGCAGTGAGTCAGCTCCTACTCCAAAGCACACAATAACAAAGAATGTCAGGAATTCTGACAATGAGAACGTCTCATGCATGTGGGCCACAGAGATGGTAAAGCAGTGTTTCATCTTCCCACTCTTCCGATCGTTTGCTATCCCTTAAAGCGTTGCTAATTCTGGAAAGCAATCTATACATCTATAAAAAGCTCTCTCAAGTTGCTGATGACTGCAAGTTCCATGATGCCACGTAGGAGCCCAAATTAGGTGCACCGTAGATCCTCCTAGGAATGCAACCTCTAAGCTCGTTTCGAAAAATAAAGTTAGGGCAGAGCACGTGAAATGAGTAAAGCGAACAAGTTGAAAGTTGAGGAGGTTGCCCAGCAGCGCCGGCCCGGGGTTCCCGCCCGCAGGGCTCCCGTCCGCGCCCAAGGGGCGGGCGCCCTGCGCGTGACGCCACTTCCGGGAGAGGCGGTGCAGGCCGGCGCCTCCCTCACCTCGCGGGCGCCCGAGCTGGGCAGCTGGCGCTGGGCGGGCTGCGGCGGGCGAAGGCACGAATAGCCGCCTTCGGGGCGGGGATCACGTGAGGCCTGGCGGTGTTGTGGGAAGAGGCGGCAAGCTGAGGTTGAGGAGGGTCCGGCTGGAGCGTCCCGGGGAAGCGAGCTGTCGCGGGACCGCGGAGTAGGCTGAGGTAGGGGCGGGACGACGAGCGCTGCCTGGGAGACACGCGCGTGCGGGAGACACCTGCACCCGGGGGCTGGCCGCCGGAGCCCCGGGGCCACCCCTCGGGGTCAGCCTGCTTTTCCGGGGGAGGCGCTGGCCGCGGACCGGGAGGTGGGGGACACGGGTGTCAGCGAGCCCGAGACCCGGGATCTGCGGGGCCCCTGGCCTGGCGCGCTGAGGGGGGCCGGCTGCCTCCACGTTTCTTGAAGCCACCTCTCGCCACACATGCTTCTCACCGCGTTACTTAGGAAAACCTCACCTGACCCCAGTTTATCTGAGTTGAGTTTTGAGGCGATCATTTTCGGATTTTCTCCAGGGCTGTGCGCAAGCGAAGGCGCCCCAGTAATGGCACTCCGCGTCCCCGCAATGCCTGGGAGCATCCCCTTTGGAGAGGTAGTGGCTGTACTGACCCACCTCCAAGCCTGGCCCCGGGCCCTCCGGTGTCAAAGGGCAGGGCGATCTCCCCCAGCTCGAGATTGCACACTTCTGTTTACTTTTTCCCTGAGAGGCCGTGAGGCGGAACCGAGGATCCATGAATCAGCAGCTCTAGTTTCTTGAATCTTTGAGGATGGGCACGGTTGCCCCGAGCCACGTGCTGGGTTAAATATTTAATTTGAGCATCTTTGCAAGTTTAAGCAGCCCATTATGGTGTCCTACCTTTCGCACTCTCTGGAATTGCTTCAACAGTTGGGCAGGCACATCTGTTGTTTTGAAGTTCAGTGATTTCACTGGCGCCTAGTTATTACAAGTCCGTAATTACCTTATTATTTAATAATTTGATGGTAAACCTTTCCTTTTTGCGTTCTCTTGACGTTATTCTGATACAAGGTTTACAAATCTTTTTGACAAAAATGGTTCTTGAGTATGAGTTCTAAATACTGTTTAAGTTCCCCCAGTTTATCATAAAGCGGAATTAGTGAGACTCTAGAAGCCCTGAAGATCATCCCAACCTTTCATTATTTAATCTTATTGGATGTGTAGTTTAGTATGAAATAGGTTTTCTTTAAATAGTGCTATTCCTTTATTACCCAGTACAAACGTAGCCCTGGGTTCTATAGAATGCTAATTTAAGAGTAGTTGATATTTACCACTTAATATCCAAGCTTCAGGTTCAGATATTTTGAGTTTTGTTAATGAAAACAAAAGGTAACAGGAATAACTTGGCTCTTTGTTTTCTTCCACTTCCCAATCCTCCTACTGGTTGGTAATAAGTACTTTAAGACCATAAACTTCTTCTAGCTCTTGTATATAAATGAAATTAGGCAAAAATGAACGTTAAATAAACTCTTTGCAAGAAAACAGTGTTTTTTTAAAAATAATAATGGAAGTGTGAAGTTCTTACCTATTTTCGATGGCACAATAATATTTTGTCATTGGAGAACAAATTTGACATCTTGCTGTTGCAGAAAAGAGTAAGGATATAAAAAAGGGAATGTTTTACTTTCTTTTAGGTCATGTTCCAGATTTAAGATTAATTTTCCAATATATCTCTCTCATTTATAGACGAACTTCTCAGAACATGATGGATTGCATATTCATTCTCTGAGTGAACTGTGTGCAGGCCTTTGTCACAAAGGCCTAAAGAAGATGGCAACTCCCTATGTCCCAGTTCCTATGCCCATAGGAAATTCTGCTTCCAGCTTTACAACCAACAGAAACCAAAGAAGTTCTTCTTTTGGGAGTGTCTCAACAAGCTCAAACTCTTCCAAAGGCCAGTTAGAAGACTCAAATATGGGTAATTATAAACAGACCAGTGTGCCTGATCAAGTGGATAGCATTCCATCTGTTTGTAGCAGTCCTCTCATTAGGACTAAATTTACAGGTACAGAGTCTTCTATTGAGTACTCTGCTAGACCAAGAGAAAGTGAAGAACAAAATCCTGAAGGCGTCAGCTGGGAAGATAGACCATCTACACCTACTATCTTGGGTTATGAGGTGATGGAAGAAAGAGCTAAATTTACTGTAAGTATTAACTCTTGTGACACCAATAAAAAGTGAAATATTGGCTAACCTATCATCACCTAGGGGAGCTTTCATTGTGTTGTAGGGAGATGTATTGTCAACCTAAAGGTTGTTGGTTCAAATTCACCAGCCACCCCCAAGGAGAAAGATGAATAGTCTTCTCCTATGCACTTTACAACCTCGAAAAACCCACTGGAAGGCCAGCTGTGAGTCAGCTCTAGCTTGATAGCCGTGAGTTCTTGTTTTGAAATGTATAAACTAAGCCTACAACAAGGTGCACCTTGGAGGCAAACATGGTGAAACTTCATCTCACATACTTTGAGCATATTGTTAGAAGAAATCATTCCTTGAAGAGGGACATCATTGAAAGAAAGGAAGACCCTCAACAAGATGGATTGAAATGATGATTATTATGTATTTGGGTCCATCAGAGGTGGTGAATGGCACACGAAAGGGCAAGATTCAGAGTCCTTGTTCATAGGGTGGCTGTGAGGTGTAGTCGACTCATCAGCACACAACAGTAGGCGGCCACAAATTACCTGTGTTCCGATCTGTTGTTGATAGTGAGTGTGATTCTTAGGAAAAGAACATCATAAGGGGAAAGACAGGAGTTCAAAAAAGGAGAGAAAGACTCCCAACAAGATAAGAGTGGCAGAGTGCCTATAACAGTGAACTTGAGCATAACACAAATCATGAGGATAAGGCAAAGTTCAGGTCTATTTTTCATCGGATTGCTATTGGTCATAGGTGACTCGGAGGCAACTAATAACAAGGCTGCCATTAAAGTATCATAAGCTAGGTGACTAAAAGCATTAGAATTTTGTCATCTCACATATTTGGTGGTCAGAAGTCTGATGTCTACGTGTTAGTAGGATAAATTCCTTCTGCTAATCTGTTCGATGCCTTCTCCTAGATTCTAGTTATGACCAGCAAGTATACGACTGGCCCAAATGCCTCACTTTCTACAAGTCAGGTGTCCATAAATGTGTGGCTATATCTGTGTACTCTGTTCTTTCCTAATCTTCTATTTGTGTAGTAATGTGTTAAGTACTTAATGTGGCTTTTTGACAAGTCCTAATATTTGGTCTTGTAACTAGTGTACCCATTCTTTAGGATTGCGTTGGCTATTCCTGGCCCTTTGCATTGGGATTATATTGAATTTCTAGGTTAATCCAGAGAGAACTAACATAATTACAAAATTGAGTCTTGTTAATGTTTAGTAAACCTAATCTATTTAATTGGGTCCTTTTTTCATTTATCTTAATGGTTTATAGTTTTAAGTACAGAAGTTTTATATTTCTCAATTAGATTTGTTTTGAGGTTTGCATGTTTTAAAATATTTTTAAGTGGTTTTTCCCTGTTAATTGTTGTGTATGAACTTTGTATCTAACCGTTTTGATCCTTCAGTATTTCTTGCTGTAAATTTATGACAGGATAGGAAGAGATCCAAGAAAAAAGAAGTTTGAATAATTTACGGAGACTTGATAAAACTAGTGATGGGCTGGGAAATTGGCATAGAACTGACTTTTTTTTTTTTTTTGCAAAGTACTTTATAAATAATAAACTGGTGCCCTCATTCTTCTACCTTAATCTACATTCCTTAGGAAGATGTGAACATTAATTTTGACATAACATGGAAATGAAAGTTTATAGACTAGGGAATTTGTAGACTAAAGTTGTATATAAATATAGAGCTTTTTAAGGCACTAAAGATGAAGACAGACGCTGCACTGGTTGTACTCACTAAGTTGTGTCAAGAAATCTAGAGGACAGCCAGCTTGCCAAATGGATGGAAGAGATCAGTATTTGTTCCCATCAAAAGAAAGGTGACCCGACAGACAGAGTGCGAAATTATCGAACAATATCAGTAATATCACATGCAGGCAAGATTCTGCTGAAAATTACCCAAAAATTATTGGAGTCAACATAACTGCCACATGTGCAGGCTGGGTTTAGAAGAGGTTATGGTACTAGGGATGTTACAGCTAATGTTAGATGGATCCTGTCAGAAAACAGAATACCAGAGGAATGTCTATCTGTGCTTCATTGACTGTGCAGAGGATTTTTGACTGGATCACAACAAGTTGGCTGAGAAGAATGCGAATCCCAGAACATTTGCTTGTGCTTATATGAAATCGACATTTGGACCAAGAGGCAGTCATCAGAACAGAGCAAGGAGATACTGCATGGTTCAAAATTGGGAAAGGTGTGCACCAGAGATGTGTTCTATCTCCATACCTTTTCAATCTGTATGCAGAACAGATCATCTAGGATGCTGGGCTGTACGAGGAGGAATGTGGCATCAGGATTGGTGGAATATTCGTCAACAACCTGCATTATGCAGATAATACCACCCTGCTTGCTGAAACTGTGAAGGACCTGAAGTGCTTGCTGCAGAAGGTCAAGGACTGCAGCCTTCAGTATGGATTGAAGCTCAACATCAAGAAAACAAAGATTCTCACCACTGGGCCTATTGACATCATCAGGATGGATAGTGAAGAGATTGAGATAGTTAACAGTTTTAGTTTACTTGGCTCCACAGTCAACACTCTTGGTACCAGCAGCCAGGAAATCAAGAGAAAATTGCATTGGGAAAGTCAGCTGTGAGGGACCTCTCCAGAGTACTGAAGAGCAACAACCTCTGGTTGGAGACTAAGGTGTGCCTGATCCGGGCTGTAGTCTTCACAATTACATGCAATGCATCAGAGAGCTGGACAATGACTAGGGATGATAGAGAATTGATGCCTTTGAGCTGTGGTGCTGGAGAAGAGTATTGAATAGACCATGGACAGCTAGGGGAACAAACAGGTTAGTCCTGGAGAGGGTGAAGCCAGGCTGCTCCTTGGAGTGAAGGATTCCGAAGCTTCATCTGACATATTTTGAGCATGTTGCAAGGAGGGACCAGTTCTTGGAGAGGGACAGCACAGGAGAGGAAGACCCTCGATGAGATTGATCGATTCAGTAATTGAGGTGGGAGGAGTTGGTGGGTCAGAGACAGTGAGGTTGGCACAGGATAGATCAGGGTTTAGGGCTCTTGTACGGAGGAGGTCACTATGAGTCGCAAGTGATTCGATGGCATATAACAATAAACAACAGGGAAGAAACAAAATGAATGATGAAGCTAATCTTGTTCATTCCTTTATTGATCAGCTCATTCTCTGAATATCAGGAATTCTCTGAGTATCAGGAATTGTTCTGGGGAATAGTACAGTAATTCAAAAAAAGTAGTAAGACATAGATAAATAAGTAAAACCCTTTGATATATAATATGATGATAAATGCTATAGAGGAAAATAAATTCAGGGAAGGGATAAAAAGTTTTCCTCAGAGTTGGGATTGTGATTTTCATAGCATTTTCAGTCAAGATGTCGCAGAAAAAGATTTTTATACCAAGAGGGATGAACTTTGAATATATCTGAGGAAAGAATGCCTCAGGCAGAAGAGGCAAGAGCCAGAGGCCTCATGATTGCAAACAGAGTAAGCAAGGGAGAGAGATACAGAAGGTGCGATAACAAGGTGAGACACATAGTCCAGGTAGGAGCTTGTAGATTTCCCTAAAAACTTGGACTTTTACTCTGCATGCAGTAGAACTCTTTAAACATTTGCAGGGAAAATTAATCACTTGATGTAGCTTACTGCTTTTAAAAAACTCATTTCTGGAAGCTGCTAAATTGAGATTGTACGGGGGAAGAGTGAAAACAGGAGGCAGTTAAGACTTTGCAGTAATCTAAAATAGACACAATGATGGTTTAGACTGGGGTGGTAGGAGGAGATCCTGAAAGACAATCATATTCTGCATATATTTTAAAGGTAGAACCAACCAGTATTTTGTGATGACTTGGAAGTGCAGTGTGAACAAAGAAGAGTCAAGTGGACCACACAATTTGTGGCCTGATGAGAAACATAAAGTGGTTGTTTATTTTAGATGACAGATTTTGAGGGGAAGATCAGGAATGCCTTTGGAACGTGCTTGGTCTGAGGTTTCTGTTACTTTTAAATGGAAGAATTAAAAATTTGTATGCCTTTAGGTGTGGATATTTGTGTGTATGCATGAACCTTTATGTAAGTAAATGTCAGGCTTAGGAGAGAGGTCTAGAGGAACAAGCTTAGCCATTTTTTACTTGTAAGATAATTTTTCCTAGACATGTTCTTTTGAATTTTCTCTTTACTGAAGAAAATACTAGAACTGTTGAATCTTTTTTTTAAAAAAAAAAAAGTAAAAGTAACCAAGACTGGACTGTGCGTATAGTTGGGGAAAAGTCTTCTGCAATTAGTCATGTTTTGTTTCTTTCCCCCGGTACTAATTACATGGCTGTATTCAATTTTTGAATGAATACAGTGACTGTAACACTGGACTTGAGCTTTGTGGAGATGATGAGGCTGGCTGAGGATAGGGCAAAGTTTTTGTCTGTTGTTCATAGTCACTGAGTTATAATCAAAGGTATCTAACAACAACATTCGTTCTGTGGAACTCATCAAGTTGTAGATTTACAGTTGTTGCATACCATTGAGTCGGAACAACTCAAGCTAATTACTCCCGTGAGTTTTCAGAGACAAAATCACATTGGGGAAGATTGCCCATCCTTCTACCAGGGAGCAGCTGGTGGATTCGAGTAGCATTCCTTTGGGATTGTAGCACAGATTCTTAACACTGGGCCATCAGAGCTCATAGGTACACGCTCTCTCCCCCTCTCTCTCCCCCCTCTGTCTATAGAAAATACACTATAAGTTTTGTAATTACATACTGCATTAAAATTCTTTAGAAAATAGACTACATAAAAAGATAGTATATATACTATTTGAATACAGACAAAGAAATGATGAGCACTATCTTTAAAGTTTTAAAGGGCACTACTTAAGAACCTTCTAAAAAGATCTGCACTTTGTTTTATCTAAAAGAATGAAGGGTGTTTAGGAGCCATGCTGTAGTATAGAATTGTTAGAAGGGAAATTCATTTTTCAAAAGAGGAAAATAAAGTGCATATGGAATATTTGTCAGT